AAGAAACAGTCCATTTAAACTAGAAGAATCCCTGGGGTGCCTGGGTGCCTCAGTCGGTTGAGCGTCCGACTTCAGCTCAGGTCATGATCTCGCAGTTCATGAGTTCGAGCCCCGAGTCAGGCTCCATGCTGACAGCTAAGAGCCTGGAGCCTGCTTTGGATTCTGGATCTCCCTCTCTCTGCCCCTCCCCTGTTCATGCTCTCTCTCTCTCTCAAAAAAAAAAAAAAAACAAACAAAAAACAGTACGGGGCACCTGGGTGGCTCAGTCGGTTGAGTGTGCGACTTCAGCTCAGGTCATGATCTTGCGGTTCGTGAGTTCGAGCCCCGCGTCAGGCTCTGTGCTGACAGCTCAGTTCGAGTGTAAGGTCAAACACAGGCCAGCATTCTTTGACAGGTGTGTTTTCCTTCAGGGGCTGTGGCCACCAATTTACAGTAAATTAGAGATTTCTGGGGCTGTCCCAATTCCTCTAAAAGTTTCAGGTCTACATAATCCTTTAGATCTTTTCTGACTTAAGTACTCTTTGGAAAACCCAAGTTTATGTCAACGCTGGTTGAAAATATTTAAACTGAATATATCGGTGGGCTCAAAACCCTCCTGGTCAAAGAAAACTCTGCCCTTGAGCCTTGACCTTGCTTCCTAAACTTTGGCCATTTGACTTGGCTTTGGTCTGAGACTGGGAATTATAAATCTTCAGATGGGGTAAAAAATATAAAAACGTATTCCTTCGGCTTGAATATATTCTACTTTGACTTTAAAGGGGTTTTCACAGAAGAACACACAATAACCATCTGTAGAAAGTACTTTCCTAGCATTGATCTAGTTTTTGGACCGGCACTTAGGTCTCCAGACAGGCTGGGTCTGGGGTGTGAACTGAAGCCAGCACGCGTTTTAGCATCAAGGAGACCTGGCTCTGGGGCCCCTGGTGGCTCAGTTGGTTGAGTGTCTGACTTCAGCTCAGGTCATGATCTCACGGTTCATGGGTTTGAGCTCTGCTCTGGGCTCTGTGCTGACAGTCCAGAGCCTGCTTCGGATTCTCCCTCTCTCTCTGTCCCTCCCCCACACCCCTCAAAAATAAACAAACATTCAAAAACAACAAGACCTGCCTCGGCTGTTTTCACTCACAGCGTGTCCTTAGGCAAGTTCCCTCCGGATCTCAGTTCTTGCCCAGAGGATGGGGAGACTGTCTCCCTTGCAGGGCTCCAAGAAGATTAAATGAGGTAATATAGGAAGGGCATCCAGTATGAGCACCAGGATGCAGCAGATGCTTAAAAACTGATGGCATCTCTGGGGCCCCTGGGTAGCTCGGTTGTGTGTCAGACTCTTGATTTCAGCTCAGGTCATGATCCCAGGTGTGTGTTTGTGGGACTGGGATCGAGCTGAGTGTGGAGCCTGCCTGGAGCCCTCTCTCTCTGCACGCCCCCCGCCCCCCCGCCCTTGCTCACACACACTCTAAGATAAAAAAAAAAAACCAATGCCATTTCTGCTATTTAGCTGCCACCAGTATTCCTATTACTGCTGCCACAAAACAATCACTATTATTGCCCCTATGGCTCCTTTTCCCCTCTAAGCTCTTTGAAGGCCCCAAATCCAGTAATTCTCTTCTGTTACAAGAATAGTTGCCCCATCTTCAATCAGGTATAACCTTTGATTAGTGAATATTATGATAAAACCACAAAAGGGTTTGTCTTGGGCGGATGGTGCCTATGTTTCCTCGATGTCCAGCCCAAAAGGACCACAGAAAAGAGATGAACTATAGGATCTCTTTAACCGTCAGCCACATGAGCCACAACTGTAACCTGTCAAAATCCAGAGAGGATTTTAAATTTTAGGTCAATGATTACTCTGGGCTTCACAGTTGTGGTTGTTGGCTATGGGCCGGTAGTTACTTATCTGCAATTCTGCCTGAAGAATACAAGGGACGCATGGCTGGCTCAGTCAGTGGAGCGTGTGACTCTTGATCTGGGGGGTCGTGAGTTCAAGCCCCATGTTGGATATGGAGATTATTTACAAATGAAATCTCAAAAAAACCCACACACAACACTAGAGCAGGGCAAGAGGTTTTGATATGAATTATTTAGCCTCTAGGCCCAAAGTTTACTTCTCTAGCAGTCAATTTAAAAAAAAAAAAAAAACAAGGTTAGAAATACCTAGGAAATGTTAAGACTGAGGGGGTGTGTGGACTTCATCACAAAGTGGCAAATGCCCAAAAGAACGGGCGCCTCTTGCGACCACTGCTTGGAAATCAGTCCAATACAGACTGGGTGCCACAGGCCAGGACGAGGGAGTTGGGAAAGTCTGCTGGGAATGGCCAAAGTCACAACCACTGGACCACAGGTGGCTGCGGAGCTTTCTCAGACGTGACTCAAGGTTTCAATTTTAACACACTCACTGCTGTTCCAACCACAGGACTTCACTCTAGCTCTTTGGGCTCAAGCTTCTTAAGCCTCGGACACTTTTTACAGGCCAGGCAGCATCGGTATTGCCTCCCAGCTGATGTGCCAAATGGTCCACTTTGTACTGGTCTTCAGTTAACGTCGAGCAAATGGCAATAAATACTTTATGATTTAGGGCTGGGGAAAATTTAAAAATATACTGTATTAGGGGCGCCTGGGTGGCTCAGTCGGTTAAGCGTCCACTTCGGCTCAGGTCATGATCTCGTGGTTCGTGGGTTCGAGCCCCGCATCAGGCTCTGTGCTGACAGCTCAGAGCCTGGAGCCTGCTTTGGATTCTGTGTCTCCCTCTGTCTCTGCCCTTCCCCTGCTCACACTCTCTCTCAAAAATAAATAAACATTAAAAAAAATTAGAAAAAAAATACCGTATAAGAACATTCTCGGAACTTACTTTATGCCTGGAGTTTATGCCTGTGCCAAGTGCTGGGGTTGCAGCAGTGAGTTAACTCGGCAAGGTCAGAGTCCACCTTGCGTAGGGACCCGGTTTAGTTGGAAACTCCCACTGTACACTTCATAAAAGTCTCCAGATTAACTTTCAACCCAATCCATCCCTTCCAAGCAGCGCAGTCCAGCAAAATTTTCCATAATGGCGGAACTTATTTCTATACTGATGGAAGCTTCTGTGTCTGTTCCATCCAACCTGTGTGTGTGTGGCTAGTGGCTACCATCTTGAATGGTGTTGTCTCAGAGAACCAACTATGGAAAAATTCACGAGTGGCATTTGCAGTATCTACTTGAGCAGACAATATCGGTCTTCACCTGAGTAGAATTCTCTGCGTGGAAATCTCTTCTCTCTAGGTTTCAGGGCAAGATTTGTGGCTCTCCTACCTTTATTCTTTTTTAAAATTTTTTCTTTTTTTTTTAAATGTTCATTTATCTCCAAGGGAGGGAGAAAGGGAGGGAGAGACAGAGTGTGAGCAGGGGAGGGGCAGAGATAGAGGGAGACACAGAATCCAAAGCAGGCTCCAGGCTCTGAGCTGTCAGCACAGAGCCCGATGCGGGGCTTGAACTCATGAACTGCGAGACATGACCTGAGCAGAAGTCAGAAGTTTAACCAACTGAGCCACCCAGGTGCCCCTCTCTTCCTCCCTTTCTGTTCCTTCTTGGTCTCCCTGTTGGTTCTCCCCTCTCTGCCTGCCTCTAATGTGAGGATTTTCTAAGGCTCAGTTCTTAGTCCTTCTCTTTTCTGCACAAACCTTCCCTATGTAATGCCCTCCTAACCATCTCAACATCTCCTGAGGGCTCACTACATATACACCATTCTAAGCATTTTGTATGCACTGACTTAATTGCCACCACTTGCATAAAATGTAGGTACTCTTATTATCCTCATTTTATAGGTGAGGAAATAGAAGCTTAGAGAATTCAAGTAACTTGGCCAAGGTCACAGCTAATCATGGTGAAGCTGAGACTCGAACACGGATGACTGACTCACTCGTGACCCATGTGCTTGGTGACCACCCTCCAGGTGATGAGTCCGACTTCCTCATCTGCAGTCAACACCACATTTCTCACTGTAGAGCTCTACCTGGATGTCTTAAAGGCATTTCAAATTCAATGTGACAAACAGCATAAGCTCTTTATCTTCCCACCGACACTTTTCTTCCACTAGTGCTTGCTCTGGTGAGTGCCATTCGTCAGTCCAGAAGCATCCACCAACCCTGGAGGTCATCCTAACCTTCCCCCGTCCCTCACTCTGAATCCACTGATGCCCCTTGAATTTGGAAGCCCTTCTCCATCCCCAGGGCCAGTGCCTGGATGGAGGCCTTTTAATTCCTTACTTGGACTCCTGTGGTGGTCTCCTAGCTAGTCCTCCAGCTAACTCCTGTCCATCCACCCAGTCTACCCACCATATCACCAAGTTAGCTTTTAAAAAATGCAAACCTGCCCATATTATGAAAGACTGAGCCCCTCCATGAGCGCCTCTCACAAAGCCTTTCATGAGATGATCCCTGTCCACTCGTTTCTCTGTGTTCTCCACATTGTTCTCTTTATGTAGCCACGTCCAATAGTCTGAACTCTGCAACTAGGCCATGGTTACATCACGAACCCCTGTACATGCTAGTCCTTTTATCCCAAGTGCTCTTAGGTTCCTTCTCCTACTAAATTCTTACTCCTCTTCTAAGACTTAGCTAAGCTTTTTCCTCTTCCAGAAAGTCTCTCCTCACCTTCCCTTCCTTCTTTGGTGCCTTCTGTGTCCCCTGAGACCTCCATTAGAGCCCTTATTACACCACTCAGCATTTATTTAGATATCTATCTCCCTTACCTACTGGGGACCCCCTGAAAGCAGGGCCTGGCCCTTATTCAATCTTGAATCCTTGGCACCTACTGTGTGCCTAGCACCTAGTGGGTGCACTGAACTGAGAACAGTGATACCTTTGGGTATTCAAACCCTGAAGCAGAAACCTTCCACACTACGATTCCACTTCTGGTAATGTGTTTAATCTTGGGAAGGGACTTTAGACCAAGAAAATCAATCCACCAGTGGACCACTCGTGAGCTCCCTTCAGATGACTTTCACCTGCCACAATTCCAGTAACAGAAATGAAAGTAAGTGTGGCCTTGCGCCCTACCTGATAGTGATGATCTGCCCGATGCCCAAGTCCAGGTCATTCAACTGTGCGATAAACACAGCCGCCACCGCTTCGTAGAGCGCAGTCCCATCCATGTTGATGGTAGCCCCAACGGGCAGCACAAACCTAGTGATCCTCTTGTCCACCTGGTTCTTTTCTTCGGCACAGCGGAAAGTGACAGGCAGTGTGGCCGAACTGTGTGATAAAAAGAGAAAGGGGTCAGGGTGCCTGGGTGGCTCAGTTGGTTGAGCGTCCGACTTCGGCTCAGGTCACGATCTCACGGTCTCACGGTTTGTGAGTTTGAGTCCTGTGTTGGGCTCTGTGCTGACAGCTCAGAGCCTGGAGCCTGCTTTGAATTCTGTGTCTGCCTCTCTCTCTGCTCCTGCCCTGCTCACACACTCTCTCTCTCAAAAATAAACAAACATTAAAAAAAATTAAAAAAAGAGAGAAAGGAATGTATGGTCTAGGAATGCTGGTGCTCAATCCCTGCCTGAAGAGACGCTTCTATTCCCGAAACTAAACCAAGAGCCCAAAGCATGCTGGCACTCTGGGCAGGTCCAGGAGTGGGAACGTGCTGTGTCCGCCGTTCTCTGAGTTACACCATAACCCCCTTCTGGGCTGCAGGCCATGCCATGAGGGCAGGGAATATGCAGTAGGGTGAAGCAATATGCTCCAGGATGCGCAGGGGGGGGAAGACAGAGGTCCTTCCTGGAGTTAAACCTAGCTACAGAAGCACAAGCTGTGGCCGGTGCTTGGTCAGCTTCACAAGTGGCCCGTACAGCTCTCAGCCGCAGCCAGTAAGAGCTGATTAGTCTCTGCAGCCCAGAGACTTCCTCCAGACACTCCTCGTACGCTTACCTGGAAGAGATCATGAGAGCCGTCAGAAGAGCCTGGGCCATTCCCATGGCGAACCGGAAAGGGTTCTTCCGAACGACTATGAAATAGATCAGCGGGAGAATGACGATGGAGTGGATTGCCAGCCTGGAAACAAGTCAAAGAAGCAGGTTCTTAGATGACACCACCTCCTCATATTAATCCTTTTTTCAAACAGCTTTTTTACTCATGATATATCATTTGATTTTCATTATAACCCAAAAGAAAATGAGAGGTAGGGCAGGTCTCCATTTGGCAGTGAGGGTGAGGACATTCACTAAGCAAACGAAGTATCTTGTCAAAGTAGGCGGTGAAGCCAGTAGCTGAATCCACATTTCAGAGCTCACACAACACTTACATCATGCCGCCAAGCTTTGTACACGCTATTTCTGCCAACAGATGCTAAAATGCTTTCACCTGCTGCTGCTGCTGAATTCTTATCCCTCCTCTAAGACTCAGCAAAAGGTCCCCCTCCTCCAGGAAGCCTCCCTTTACCTTCCCAGGTTGGGCAGACCCTTTCCTCTGTTGTAGGTCTGTGGCTCTGCACAAACCTCTACCATAGGCCCTTATCATAGCACTCAGCCCGTCTGTTCCCTGGACCACTGCTGTCCTGCTGGATGGTGCCCACCATCTAGTAGGCCAGGCAGGCTGTGGTGAGGAGGAAGTCCCTGCTCTCCTCCAGTCATACTGGTGGAGTCTCCTTCCACCTACTTCAGGACTGACCCTCTTTTCTTTGTTATTCTTGCCTTCCAAAACTATTCCTTATTTCACACTGAGATATATAGGTTACACAAAACAGGGGGCTTAAAAAATGAGACCAATCCAGCAGATGCCATATAGTGTCCACGTAAAGGGTTTACAGATCAGTTATTCAAAGCTGAAATAATAAGAAATGATCATTGTTAATACAGATCCTGAAGGTCCATCTTGAGGGTCTTCACATAGAGCTTGTGGCTAAGAACTATGAGAAGCTGAGTCTTCTGTTAAAAACCAAGGTAGGGCAAGAGAACAGAAACCAGAACTGTGTTAGAAAATGGCTCAGTATAATAAAACTCGGCCAAATGACTGCCTGGACCCAGGCCCTGTCCTCGAGAAGGGTAGATGGCCCTGATGCCTTACCACTGAGGCCCTGAGATTTGACAATGGTCCTCACACTGGAGGAACCCAGGCTTCTTCTTGCTGGCTGGCAGGACGGTGCTTTTGGTAAAGACAGATAAGCTCCCCAGTGCACCTGCCTTCCAGCGGGTGAGCTCATTGCTCAAGTTGGGCGTCTGGGGGCTACTGACCTGTGCGAGTCAAACTGATGATACTTATTCATTCCCTTGGTCCGTGTTTCTTAACACCTGTGATGAATCCTGTCCCTGCTAGATATCCGGGGCCAGCATTCCTAACTTATCCACCATACCTGCCCTTAAGGAGCCAATGACTGGGCTGCAATAAATATGCAAACGACCTGTCCCCTGCTGCCTTCCAGCTTTTACACAGTACCTCCCAGCTGGAAGAGTTTCCCAGAATGCTCCCTGACACTTGGATGATGCATGGCGTGGCAGTGGTGCCCGGCCCCACCTGCAGGGCTGGGACCAACCAGCCATCCCTTCCGACTGGCTCAAGTCTCCTTCCACCTAGGCCCTGCCTAATGTCTTTCTTGGGGTTGGGGTACCTGTGGGCCATTCCTACTAGTTTGGTGAGTTTCCATCCTTGAAGAAGTGAACGCCAAGAGAGGCTACCAGTGGGTCTTGCTCATTTTAAAAAATGATTTTAACACAACTAATAAAGGTCCAGGCTGTCTGCCGAGATCTGGCAAGTAGCACAGTGGGATCCTCCTCCAGTACAGCTGTTAAAGGGCAGCCCTCCTCCCCCTGCTCTCTTATCTCTCAACCATCTTTCCCTGCACAGGGGAGAAGCTGATTTTAACCAAAAGGCAGCTTCTCGGCACCAGTCCGTTGGCCCAAAAGAAGTTGGCTGCTTCCTCCCTGGAGTCGGACGTACCCACTCAGGACGGTGGCCATGTAAAGGCCCAGCTTGCGGAATATTTCCCAGTCTTCAACCTCTATGATCTTCCCGGCAATCAGGAACAAAATGCCAAGTGGCATGTAACTAGAAAGCAAGCATAGCAAAGACACTTCTGTCATCTGGTGTCTTTTCAAGGTGGGATCGCTGGGGAGAAAATGGGCCAGGGCACACACCTTGGCCTGGCACGTGTGTCAGCTGGGAAGCACACCTGCTACACGATAAAGCCAAGGTTTCGGCCTCAGGCCCTGGTGGACCCCTGGTGCCAGGTTTCAGCACCCGCACATGTGTCTTAAATCCTACCCACCTCAGCCACCCTAGATGAGCAGACTCGGCAAGAACGTGTGGTTAAATGAGTGCATAGCCCATGCCTCACTCCCGGTACACATACGTCCTGCTAACAGTCACAACGGCAGATCTCATTTTTGCCTGATCCCCCATATATGGCCCCCATGCTCTTCCTGGCCTCAGTCATCTTGTTCCCCAGGAGGCAGTGTCAGCCACAGAGCAATATGATTAGTAGGAGAAGTGGTCAGAAGAGCCCTGTTTGCGGAGCTCTCATTACGTGCCTTGTATTGGGTTAAGTATTTGACGTGCATCATTTCCCTTGATGCACTTCTCCCAAATCTAGGGGCAGATTTCTATTATCCTTTTTTGCAGATGATGAAGGTGAGGTTCAGCGGGAGTAAGTGGCTGAAATCATGAAACCCTTTGAGTCACTGTCACTATCTACACTTCAGAGTCCATAATGTTGAAACAACTCAAAGTAAGTGGGGCAGGGATCACCTAGAAAAGTTGGAGTTTGGCATCTCCAGGGACAGGGTGATGCCACTGGTATGCTGATCCAAATGGTAGTTTTCATCTGGATGGATTAGGCCTGTGCTGTACCAGTAGCAAGAATTTTGAACATCACTTATGCACGGGGCCTAACAAGGAAAGCACCTTGTGTTGTGATGTGCAAAGAACCCTTTCAAATCTTTAATTAAAGAAAAATTTTAAAAATATTTATTCTTGAGAGAGAGAGACAGAGTGTGAGTGGGGGAGGGTCAGAGAGAGAGGGAAACACAGAATCCAAAGCAGGCTGTCAGCACAGAGCCTGATGCGGGGCTCTAACCCACAAACTATGAGAGCATGACCTGAGCTGAAGCTGGACACTTAACTGAGCCATCCAGGCACCCTCAAATCCTTAATTTAAGAGTTATTTCTTAGAGGGACGCCTGGGTGGCTCAATTGGTTAAGCATCTGACTGTTGATTTCAGCTCAGGTCATGATCTCACGGTTTGTGAGTTCGAGCCCCATGTGGGGCCCTGTGCTGACAGCATGAAGCCTGCTTGGGATTCCCTCTCTCCCTCTCTTCCCCACCCTCACTCTCTCTCTCTGAAAATAAATTAATTAAAAAAGAGTTATTTTCTTAGGTGAATGCTGGTTGGGTGTAAGACGATCAAGGGCTTTGCCAGAAAAGACAATAGCTAAAACCTAGATTCTTGTTAGTGAACTAACTCCTATGTAATACGCATAGTTACTGAATGCTCTAGTGTCTTGATATTCTATGTTCACCCTTCCTAGGCATCTTTACTCCAATTGTGAGGGGGCAACTGTCAGGAGAAGCAGGATGGCATTAACAGGCATCTGCTCACCACATAATGATCTGGACGATTTTCATGGTTGCATCACTCAGAGCAGTGAAGAAATCCACCAGAATCTGTCCTTTCTCTCCCATTTTTCCAATGACAAGTCCAAAGACGAGGCAAAAGACAATCAAGCCCAGGACGTTTATGCCGTCTGAATACATGCCTACGACTTTGTATTCCTTTGTTTTGTTCTGTGGGTCAAAACCAAGAGAATATACGGATGCGTGATTAGAATGCTGTTGGAAAGCAGAGGCCCCGAAATGGAAAGATACCACGGCCACACCTACTAAACTAGTGATCCACCAAAGGCCACCATACTTGGGGACAAAAAGAAAAAAAAAAACAACCCAAGTTTTCACTGCCCCCACCATCTGCCGCTGAACTTTAAAGTGATTTTTTTTTTCTCTTTCTCTCTCAAAAAATCCAAACTTAAAGATTTCTTTTGAAGATGTCTTATTCTGGGATGTCTTATATTAAAAAAAAATTTTTTTAATGTTTATTCATTTTTTAGAGAGAGAGAGACAAACAGAGCACAACCGGGGGAGGGGCAGAGAGAGAGGGAGACAGAATCTGAAGCAGGCTCCAGGCTCCGAGCCGTCAGCATGGAGCCTCATGTGGGGCTCGAACCAACTGGGATATCTTACATTTTTAATAAGAACTGTAGATTTGAGGTGCTTTTCAGAGTTATTCTAACTACTAACTACATTTGGAGTCTGCATGAAAAAGAGAGGAATTAATAATGCAGGAACTGCAAAATATTTAACAGGGTGAACATTTTTAGGACATTTTACTATCTGTTGTATCATGATAGTAAAACACAGGCGCATTCTTTACCGCCTCTGATCCTGGATGACCAACGGGATTGTAGAGATATAAATATTAACCAAATACCAGCTACTATAAGCCATTTCGTGATCTTATCCTAGTAAGAACAGCATGAGATATGCTGAGACACAACCTCATCTGAGTGGTGCAGCATGAGATTTCACTGAGAGATTTCACAGGGAGATAACGTGATCGGAGTGCCGCAAGCCAGGTTTATAATGTATCATATATGGTTGATAAGTTACTGGGGTGCCATTTTTTACTTATCATCTGATATGCTCAAACTCATATTTATCGAGCAGCTAGAGTGTGCTGACTGCATTGGTGACTTAGAAGTCTTAAAATACAGCTAGACAGATAAGATTAACCGTGAGAAAAACAAACCAATGGTAGCGGGAGGGTGTGTAATTAACTGCGCGGTCAAGTTACAGGCCTCGGCGGAAACTGACTGGGGGCACCGGCGGTTAGGGAAAGCTAAGCCTGAGCGGTAGGGGCAGCCAAGAGATGAAGGCCAACACCAGAAACATGGCATAAGCAGAGGCCAAAGTCATCCCCAGGCCGCTGCACCCTACCTGGAGAATTCCACTCATCCTTTATGGCCCCCAAACTAATTTAAGCCTCTCTGTTGAAAGCCCTGGAGTAAGCACCCTGTCCTTCCCTATTGCAATACTCATCACTCGTCACATGAGGGCACAAGCCTTGTCTGTCTTCGTACCACTGTCATCCCAATGCCCAGCAGGGCCTGGCTCACAGGGAGTGCTCAAAAAAATCTTTTCAGAACCACGTGGAAAGGCAGGAATAAGGAGTAACTGAGGAGGTGGGTCTGGATGGGAAAGAGAAAAGGCCACTGGGAAGGGAGCCGGGAAACCAGGGAGGAGCCCGGCCATGGAGGGCCACAGAGCCAGTCGGAGGACTTAATGTTTCCTGCAGCAGGAAGCTGGAGCCAACCGTGGTCTCTCTGATTTGAAACAAGTCTACCAAACATTTCTTTCTTCCTTAAATCGTTCCCTTCTGGGTGGGGGCAGAGAACGCTCAGCAGAGACCTTCTCTAGGACTACAGATTTACTGCTTCGGGCCCACACAGTCTCATCTCCAAAGCTGAAATGCCGACCGCTCTCAAAACCTAATGGATTTTATTCATAATTGGATGGTGAACTCCTGGTGGCAGAACTGAGGTGAGGCTGCTTGTGGTTTATTCCTCTTTACCTGGCAGGGCATTCTGCTGCAGGCATACTGACGTCCTCTGTCCTGGAGAGGGTGCTTCCCAACCCCACTGAACTGAGTTGCATGACACACAGTGCCTGCGCTGCATGGCCCGTCGAGGGCCGTCCGGACCCCGAATCACATCTGGGCGGAGAGTTTTGGAGAAGCAACGTGGCCTTGTATTCTATATTTCGGTGGTCTTGCAACTCTAAAGCAAGAGGTACCCAACTCAACTCAATGGAGTAGTGGAGGGTGTAGACGCAATGGGGCTCACCCTCTTCTCTGGGTGGTTCAGATGCTTCTCGTAATGCCTGGGGATTATGTTTTACAAAGTGCCACCCACCAACATTGAGTTAGCAAATACTAAATCCTTGCTCCCAGGGGAAATACAAGGTTAGGTTGTAGGGAACCAGGGTTCACAACATTTTCATCAGATAATCAGCATATAACCTTGCTGTAGGTGTGTTTCTGTTCAGAAACACATGAGTATGTAATGTGTATTACTGAGTCGTTAACACTGAAGTCACAACCGACACCCTCGGCCTGAATGAAGCTGATCTAACACATATATAATTTTCCACACGGGACACTACAGCCTTCTCGCCCTCAGAACCACCGACAACACTGCAACATTATGCTTGGGGGATGTTTTAAACAGTAAAATCACCATGAAAAAGCACAGAGACATGAAAAATGTGGCATAAACATGCTACTCAAAGGACACTTGTTTACAATGAGAGCTGAAACAAGAAGGCAGAGCTTGGGGTGCCCGGATGGCTCCATTGGTGGAGCATGTGACTCTTGATTTCAGGGTTGTGAGTTCAAGCCCCACATTGGGTGTGGAGCCTATTAAAAAAAAAAAAAAAGGGCTTAGACTTGTTCAGCCTCAGAGGGCCATGTGTGCATTGGGCGACTTAAACTTTTCACCGCTCTTTGTCCGCAAATGACGTGAGAGCGTTGTGTTGATTCTGGGGTGGCAAACACATTTTAGTGAGAAGACGAATTCGCAAGTAATGAGGACAGACTGTATCTCCGTCTCCTGCTTGCTCCATGACTCAGCGCCTGCCTGGGGGTGGGGGGGGGAAGGGGCGCAGGCAACAAGGTACCTTGGAAATGGCAGTTGTCATGATGGCTGTGACAGATGCTTGGGTCATGTTCATCCCAGGCTCACTGGGAGTATTCACTTCTTCACGCTTGGTTTTATACTGCACATTGGAGGGGAAAAAAAGACCAAAGAAACAAACAAAATAAGAGTTTTTCAAGCACCTGAGTCTAAACCATGGGAATATGTGACTCTGGCTAACTGAGTGCCACTGAAGCCTTCTGCCTCTGTCACCTCCCTCGGTTGCAGATTTTGATAGTACCTCCCATGAGGCTTGGGAAGCCAAAGTGAGACCATAAAATCCAAACCTTGATTCCCATGGCCACCATTCAGTGATGTCAGAATGTTGTCTTTCATAGTAAAAGATTAACAGGGCGACGATGGGAAAGAAAGTTTGGGTTGTTGTTTTCTTAAATGTTTATTTATTTTTGAGAGAGACAGAGCATGAGCAGGGGAGGGGCAGAGAGAGAGGGAGACACAGTGTGAAGCAGGTTCCAGGCTCTGAGCTGTCAGCACAGAGCCCGATGCAGGGGCTGGAGAATACAAACAGAGAGATCATGACCTGAGCCAAAGCGGGAAGCTTAACTGACTCAGCCACCCAGGTGCCCCAAAAGTACAGGTTTTATTTGGAGGTGCTTTGACAGACTCTTACAGCGATCTTATCAATCATTTTCTTTCTATTTGTTTATTCATATCTCATTTTTAATCTGGGAGGAACACCTCATTACTTGGGTAACTGTAGTCACCCTGACTTTAATAAACGTCAAGAAGTAGATGGTTGTTCCAGCAGCAACAGTCCCTTTAGGGCTAGTCCATGAGTGAGATTTCTATTGAATTCCCTTCCTTCGGCTCTGTTTGGTCCTACAAGGCTTCAGCAGAGAGGTTTAAGAAAGAGCTAGTATACCACAACACCAGGCATAAATGTCACTCCTTCGAGGCACTGCCAACATCAAGAACCTTACAAATGACCACTGTGGCTGAGCCGCAAAGGCACCCTTGAAATAGAGGTGGTTCTGTGCCTCTTGGACGTCGGCAGGGGGCAACTTCATTGCCATTTTTGTTGGTACACACAGAGGTCTCTGTTCATGTAATTTATGTAAATGAATTCGGCAGTTTGTGATAGACTCAGCTGTCTTAAGTGCACAGATAAACAAGAGAAAAGAGCTGTAAGGAAATGGGAGTGAAGAGATTGTTCAACTTTCCTAGAGAAAAAAAATCACGGCTTTGTTACATTGCTGGGGAGCCGGAGGGTCAGCAACGGGTGCGTAGTGATTAAGGAAAAGACTGAACACTGGGAACACCCACCACCCGTGTGGGTTAGATACCACTCTCCCAACATGAGGGAGAAAGGAACAGGGAGTCGGAGGGTTGCTTTTTCAGTGCCTGCATCTGGAGACAGTCTAAGCGTCTCCACAAATATCACATGGTTCTCAAAAACACAGGCACAAGAGCCCACATTTTTAAACACTCTTTGTTCGACAGGTTCCTGATGGCTTCATCTGAGCTCTCTTGGGGACAAGAACGTGTCACGGAAAGGGAGCAGCGGGGTCAGTAACAACAGGGACTTCTCTGGGACCTGAAGCCCAGAGGCATCTGCGATTTGCTCCACATTCACACTCGAGGGTGGGTTTCCTGCTATTTTTGATGTGCTCATTCCACTTCCTGGGTCACAGCAGGGAACAACGATTCTAATCAGTAAAGCGAAGAGTACAGCAATCTGAAGGCAAAAGTCGTTATTCTTACCTGCTGAAAACAGGCTTGGACAAGGTTCTCCGGGAACATATTCCTGTTGGAGACATGAAAAACAGTGTCACGTTACAGCACAAGTGTTTTGTTTTTGTCACACCCAACGCATGGGTGAAGGTGAGCAGAATATAGAATCAGTACTCTGGTTCCTCTTCTGGTTTCTCCTTTGCAAAATACTTCCTTGTATTAAGATTTTTTCCCCCCCGAGCTTCAACCGAGTCTAGAAGGTTCCCTCACACAACCATCACTCAGCTGAGTCACTGAGTAATTGGTACGCTCACTGTCCTCGGTGAAACAACGCATTGGCAGGTGGACACTCCCAGTCAAGAGACTCCTTTAATATTCTGTACGCTTCTGTTTTCATTGACGAGAAAGTATGCCTACCGAGAGTCCGTGGCATCTGTTCCCAAATTCTTTATGCCAAATGAGAATATCAGCATAATGACTGAATTAAAAATGATGTGAGTCAGTGAAATGGGAGTGATATGGAAGGTGTGGTTTCTCATCAAAACTAAACTCAATGCTTGGAAACTCGACCGAAGCCAGTGACTAAAATTTCTGTGGGCAAATTAGGTAAGGGGCGTCCACAGAAATGGAAAGAAAAACTGGCAGGATGTGGCACTCAGCATTCTTTATAGTTTCTAAGGATTTTGTTGTGTACTTCATGAAAACTGAACCTGGAAATTGTATACCATGCCTTTACAAGCACAACAGGTGCAAGAAAAATGATACAGAATCACAATCAACTGACACGCTCAAAGAAAAGATTTTGGCCCTACATCAAAAACTGGCAAACACATTTAAATTTTGTGTCTACAAAATATGTAATGTGTACCTGTGTCATTTTTTAACGATTCTCTGCTCTGCTATCTTAAAAGTAACTGACCAATTCCCAGCCCTGATTGCTTCTGAGAAGAGGGCTTCTCCGGTGCAATTAAAAAATGTATTTCTTGGGGCACCTGGGTGGCTCAGTCGGTTAAGCGTCCGACTTCAGCTCAGGTCATGATCTTGCGGTTCATGGGTTTGAGACCCTTGTTGGGCTCTGTGCTGACAGCTCAGAGCCGGGAGCCTGCTTTGGATTCTGTGTCTCCCTCTCTTTCTGCCCCTCCCCTGCTCACACTCTGTCGCTCTCTCTTGAAAATAAATGTTAAAAAAAAAAGTTAAAAAAGAAGGTATTTCTTCAAGTGTGCTTCAGAGCTGACCCCCCAACGCAGCCCAGCATCTTAGTGCAATAAGTGTATTTTCTGCTTCTCTGTCCATCCTAAATCCTGACAGAGGAGACTCTCTTCCCACTCTTGGAACCATGGCTTGGAGAGCACGACTGGCTATGCAATTTTGAGGTCCAGGGCAAAATGAAAACATGCAATGATTCAAAAACTGTTGGCCATTTCAAGACAGCTACAGCAGTGCACTAAAGCAAGCTGTGGTCCTCTGTGGCCACAGTACCACAGGCGGCGTGCCTAGGGGGCTGCCCCACTGGCAAAACACTCACCTGATCAGATCCAACATGGCATCCACCGTACTCACTTCAGGGCTGCTTCCTGTCCTGTCAATCTCATCCACTTTCTGGGTGACACCAGGCTTGATGCTCACCACCAGCACGATGCCTGCGGCCCAAGAGAGCACCACAGAGCATTAAGAACCTTCCAGAACACCTGGCACCCCTGGCGTAGACTTCTTAGGACCAGTAGGCATAGTGGCACCAGGCAAAACCAGAAGGAGGACTCCACGGTCCGGTCCGGCCAAGATGCCGAGCCTCAGCTGGGACCTCCAAGCAGCCTTGATTACTTTTCCATTTAAATGAAGAAGGAACTCTTCCCATTTTTTTTTTTTTAATGTAAATGAAGAGGCTGCATTCCAGAATTGCTTCTGGAAACCCTTGCTGATGAGAACATTCTATTTTCTTTTCTTTAGCTTATGAGATCAGCCTAGGCAGGGGTTGGGGTGAGGGTGATTCATTTTCCAACTCAGTTCATTTTCAAGCCATTCAATACCTTTATGTAACTTTTATCCACAGATGCTGGTTATTTTCCAGAGGCTCATACAAAACAAGCCTTAACTTCCTTTCATACTACAAGCCTTCAGATATCTGGAAGGCTGTTGTGTAATCCAAAAAAGGGTTAGGGTTAAGAAAAATAGTGTTCCCTGTGACTCTCGGGGGGTGGAAGGAGGACAAACAGGTGTTACAGGGGGAGACAGTTCTTGCTGTAAGGCACTGTCTCAAGGGGGGGGGGTATCTGAGGGCACCATTTTGGCCCCTGGAGGTAATGGGTTCTTGCCCTCTGAGGTGTCCAAGCAGAGGTGGGAGGCTGGAGTACACCCCAAGTCATTAGAGGCTGCCTGACTGGAAGGGGTGAAGAAGAAAGTCTCTGTGTCCTTTATCACTCCTCCCAAGGGCAACGCCGATCCACAGTGGGCAGGGCATCAGGACCAGAGCAGGTAGGTTTCGCAGGTGGGAGGAGTCGGTGGGCAATACAAAGACAAGGTGGGTGTGGTCCCCTCTTTCCACTCAACCTGGCAGGAAAGACACACACCCGCTTTTTCCTTCATGTGCGCTTCCCTCACGAACCTTCTGAGGAGGCGCAGCTTTGGTTTAAGGCAGGGTTCAGGCCCTCCCAGGTGCCCTGCCTACCAGCCCCACTGCCTCACCTCATCCCAACAGTCTCTTAATGGAGAGTGGCAGGGTCACGCGGCTGCAACATCTGAGTACAATCCAGTCCTCTCTTCCCACGCGGGGCATCCTTAAAACGTCAGGTCACAAAGGATGGGCCGCACTCTCTTCGTAAAAGAATGCCAGAGGTCCGAGAGCAGGTATATTCCCTTATCAGAACGTTCTCCCTTTTTCAACTGGAATTTATACTTGGCAAGTTGCTGTGAGCTCTCACTACCATGTGCCATTTGAGATGCACTGAAATGTTATCTTTTTGGAAATACTTCATCATTAGACTCAACTCCACTATGACAGAAGCTCTTGGCTTCACTTCCTTCTAATAAAGGCACAGAACTGTCACCCTGTTTCTTACTAGAGACATTAATGAGCAGCACCACGGCTGAACTTGAGTCAGTATTACATTTTCTTCATAGAAAAGGTGTTGTGTAGACCTGAAGCCCAAAAGGTTCATGGTAATTTGACAATATTGCTTTCTGAATTACAAAAAAAAAGTACATTAAAAAAAAAGCCCAACTACTTTTAAAGGAAGAGTCACAATTCTACAGAAGAATCAGGAATCAGAAATAGGTTTTACCTAGAATCACAGCAATGATCGTGGTACAGAAATAATAGACAACGGCACGTAGACCAATTTTCCCAGATACGCTGGAATCCAGGGCAGCAACACCTGCGAGGGGGAGAAGACATTTTTGTCCATTTTTAATTTCATTTCAGAGTGAGAGAGAGAGAGAGAGAGAGAGAGTGAATGGGAGAGGGGCAGAGGGAGACAGAGAAGGAGAGAGGGAGACAGAATCTTAAGCAGGCTCCATACCTAGCACAGAGCCTGACATGGGGCTCGATCCCACAACCCTGGGATCATGCTCTCAGCTGAAATCAAGAGTCAGACGCTCAACTGACTGAGCCACCCAGAAGCCCCAAATTACGCTGATTTTTAAAAGACGGATTTCCAGGCCTGGTGGTCATTCAATCCTCAAGGTGTGAAATGAAGGGCTGAGGGCTGTCCTCTGCCATCTGCTAGGCCCATCTCGCATGAGACGCAACGGGCAAAGGAAGGGCTTCAAGATTGCCAACACAGAATGGAGACGGAAGAGGGGTGAGGTGCAGGCGCCCCTTCCCCATAATCCCGCTACCTCAGCCCGTGGCCAGTGCCTCGTGGGTCTGGTCACGAGACAGGAGCTCCCCTTCCGCATCCGCTCAGAGAATCTTGAGGATTGTACATCACATCACTCCACAGCCTTCAGGATAAACCCCTTCTGGAATTCAGTATCCAGAAAAAAACTTTATCTTGAAGAACGGAGAGTTCTTTCATCACGTAATGAATATTGTAAAACTCATGATTGTTTCCCTTTCTGCCCTTTTTGCCAGGAAGCTCAGAGTCGGCCAAAAAGGTTAGCTTTTTAAAAGAAATGTTTACTTATTTTTGAGAGAGTGAGGAAGGGACAGAGAGAGAGGAGGACAGAGGATCTGAAGTGGGCTCTGTGCTGACAGCAGAGAGCCCGATGTGGGACTTGAACTCATGAACCACGAGGTCAGGACCTGAGCCACGGTTGGACACTTAACCAACTACACCACGCAGGCACCCAAGATAACTTTTATGGGTGACTATGAAAGTGATAATATATGTTTGATATAGTAGTCTGAAAAAAGGAAAATAAAAATCACTCCATTCCATCAGTCATAGTTGATATTCTGACAAATTTCCTGTCAATATTTTTTCTTTTTTGTAAACATAGCTGAGTGAATTCTACAGTTTTTGATCCTTTCTTCTTAATACTGTATTATAAGCATTTTCTTATTACAAATTCTTCAGGAGGAATTTTAATGGCCACATAATCTTCTGTCCTGTGACTGTACCATAATGTATTTAATCATCCACTTCCTGTTGGAGCTTTAAGATAGTCTCAGGGCCAACTTCAATACTAAATCACAGTACTTTCATTATTTATCCTGGCCAGCACATTTTCTCCTCCTTTTCATGATTTCCAAATTGCTTCTATGTTAACAACCTTACTGTGTATGGCTCTGATTGTGAGACAACTTAAAATATCCATTTTAAAGAGGTAGGATATAAAAAAAATTTTTCCAATTTTTAAATTTCTAATTGAAGAGACCTAGGGCCACACCGTTAGCTGTAGTCTCAAATGGTGTTGGGTGGCCTATAAAATGACTGAATGTAGTCCGGAAGGGAAAAGGCTGTCTAGAATGCCAACCATAGCCCTAGAGGGGGAGGCACACATCCCTTCTTGCTAGAAACCCTTGCCTTCCATTGAAGATGCCCCTATAAATGGAGACAAATGACGCAGTTGACTGGATAGCTACTATGTGGAAGACAGGGTAAGTGGTGAAGCAACCAGACCATCTTTCAGCACTCTGTCATTGGAAGGTTTCAGGGGCGCCTGGGTGGCTCAGTCGGTTAAGCGTCCAACTTCGGCTCAGGTCATGATCTCGCGGTCCGTGAGTTTAAGCCCACATCTGGCTCTAGGCTCTGCGCTCAGAGCCAGGAGCCTGCTTCGGATTCTGTGTCTCTCTCTCTCTCTCTCTAAAATAATAAACATTAAAAAAAAAATTATAAAAAAAAAAAGGGGGAATGTTTCAGGCTCTACCCTGCCCTGTTTCCAAAACAAGATTCACATTATGAATCAAACAATCATCACAGAAAATGACTTCTTGAATCTTCAACACATGTGACTTGTGCCTTAACTGTTAGCAAAGCCTGAAGTGCAGGGTGGCGGGAAAGATGAGTTGTCGTGAGGCAACCCCAAGGAGAAGGTAGTAAACTGGGGGGGTTATGGCAGGCACAGGTGGCTTTTGTTTTCACTCCTCACACTATAAAAGCCTCGCCTATTTTTCTCAAGTGGGGCTTGTGCTTCTCACATATAATTGTACATAATCGATGTGCAGGACCAATCGGGAAGGAAGCTGGTCGTCGCCACGATGACAGGACAAATCGGCTCCCACTGCAAACACGCCATTCCTCTGGCTGCTGGTTGCTCCTCTGGAAGCTAATATTTTGAGAGAAGGGGTTCTGGCCAACTTAGCGAGCACCCCAGGATGTTGGAAGGGCCCGTTCACCAGCCCCTGGGACAAGACTGTCATTCCCACGTGAGGGGCATATCGCAACAGACACATTCTAGAAAAAGCCCGAGGCTAGATTCTATTCTCTCTCTCTGGGAAAAATGCACTCTGCTGTGCCGAGAAGACTTTCTTCTCCTTGTGGTAAGACGATTAAAAATAACGACTCTTCAAGAAATAGTAGCAACGACAACAACAATCAGGAGACACCAAAGGCCACAGAATGGACAATTTCCTATTTAGAGCTTCAGTCTCTTAAAAAAAAGGGCAAACAGGGGCGTCCAGGTGGTTCATTCAGTTAGGCGGCCGACTTCGGCTCAGGTCATGATCTCACGGTCCGTGGGTTCGTGCCCCGCGTCGGGCTCTGTGCTGACAGTTTAAAGCCTGAAGCCTGCTTAGGATTCTGTGTCTCCCTCTCTCTCTCTCTCTCAAAAATAAAAAAACATTAAAAAAATTTAAAAAAAAGAGCAAACAATAATGCAAAATATGTAAGTTTGCTAAGTATATTCTATGAATATAAAACTGTGCTTGAATATTCCGTTTTAGAGCTCTGTGCATTATTTTCATAAACAATCAAAATAATTATTTATACCAATAGTTGATTTTAAAAAACAAAATCACCAATTCCACAAAACTCCACATAACCTGTACAAGCCCATGGAATCCTGGTCCAAGCGAGGATGTATTTTCAGATGTCTCATCCTCGAGTCGATGTCTAAATTCAGCAGCTCCCAGCCCCCAAGGTACGGACAAGTGACAGGCTCAGAGGGCAGCTGCAGAACTGTTCTTGGGTATGTGTTTTGTGCCCTCTCGGGGTTTTCTTCCAGCAGTGAAACAAATTAAATCTATGTAGGTAATTGTTTCCAGCATATGCTAATATGTCTTAATTTGTCTTAATGATTTGGCCATGGGCTGCTGCCTCTGCGTCTATTCCAGGACCCAGCTGGCAATAAAAGGCTTCATAATAATGAGATTCTTGGTGGGAAGTATCTTAAACAAATACATCCCCTAAAGCAGTCTGCCAGCTCCCTTCTGCTGGAGGACAGCGACTGTATTGTAGTTACTTTGGGAAGGGCTTTACTTCCCGTTCCTCAAATCTACCTTAGTCCTATAATTCTCCTGGACAGATCAGAGATGTAACTCAAGGGGCGCCTGGGGGGCTCAGTAGGCTAAGCGTCCGACTCGGGCTCAGGTCACGATCTTGCGGTTTGCAGTTTTGAGCCCCATGTCAGGCTCTGTGCTGACAGCTCGGAGCCTGGAGCCTGCTTTGGATTCTATGCCTCCCCCTCTCTCTGTCCCTCCCCCACTCATTCTCTCTCTCTCAAAACAAAAAACAAAAAATCACACATTAAAAAAAAAAAAAGAACAGAAATGTATTTGAACCAACAACTGTACTTCTGTACATCTTACCTCTAGAGTTACCCTTCTACCTCTCCAGCCATCACTGATGAGGGGCAGGGCTGGCCCCCCAATTCCAGGCCCTTGGACTATTTATCATGTGGTGCCAGGGGTAGAGGTGATGGGCCACCACAGAGGCTGGGAACATAAGCAGGGCAATAGCTTGTTTGGAAAACCTCCACAAGTCACCGGAACATTCCTGAACTTAACTTGAACATGGAAAGCTTGTCTGGATAGTCTATACACCCCACCTGCTAATAATAGCAATGATGCTGAGGCTTAATTCTAATCAAAATGACAGTGACCATACACACTGTGTCCTGCACAATGGGTACATGTGGAATGCGTCACCTCCTTTATCCCTCGCCATTTGGTGGGGACGCTGGGATCCCAATCCAGACTCGAACCCACAGGCCATATTCTTAACCACTCTCTCACAGTGGCTCTATCCACGTGCTGTGAAATTCTAGACCAGTGCTGCCTCACGGAACCGTCATGGTGAAGTGCTTCCTCTTCGTGCTTCTGTTGTAGCGACCACAAGCTACCTGCGGCAGGTGTGCTTGGGATCTGGCTAGTGTGGGGGCACCTGGGTAGCTTGGTCGTTAAGTGTCCGACGCATGATTGCGGCTTAGGTCACGATCTCACGGTTTGTGAGTTCGAGCCCCGCGTCAGGCTCTGCACGGACACTGTGGAGCCTGCTTGAGATTCTCTTTGTCCCTCTGTCTGTCCCTCCTCTGCTCATGCTTTTCTCTCTCAAAACAAATCAATAAAACCTAAAAAGAAAAAAAGAATTTTGTATTTGATGCTTTCCCTCAGAAAGAACTGCATCTTTGTACAGGTAGTTCCTCCTTACAGAGTGAGCCCACTTCAGAGATTCACCCTGTGGCAGTGATTAGGAGCTCGGCAGGTAGTCTCCTTAGAAACCACCTTCATGATCTCGTGGTCCATGAGTTCGAGCCCCGCGTCCGGCTCTGTGCTGACAGCTCAGAGCCTGGAGCCTGTTTCAGATTCTGTGTCTCCCTCTCTCTCTGACCTTCCCCCATTCATGCTCTGTCTCTCTCTCTCAAAAATGAATAAACGTTAAAATTAAAAAAAAAAAAAAAAGAAAAGAAACCACTTGTATGGGGCAGTTTGGTTCAGTTCCCAGGGAGACCAACAGAAACACTTTTCATGTGACTGTGTGACCTACCTCCACAT